GGAGATGGTTTTTATTTTAGTTCAATTTAGCTTCACGAACGCGTCAGCTCAGCTGAATGTTGTTGCTGATCATATAAATTTTTCATAGTACCTCAGTATACCCATTTAATACCTACATTCAATAGAATAATGCAACCTAGAAATGCTGAAAGAATCAATGCAGTTTTCTGGGGGCGTAAGGTGGTCCAGCTTAGTTTTGATAGGGTGCCACTGGTAACAGGGCTGGTGGTGGTATTACTGCTGAGAAGCAACCTAAAGATTTCTGTTTACATCATCAGCGTGAGGTGAACTGCTGGTGAACTCAATTTTCAAGCTTGAAGCATTTCTAGATAAGTGAAGCAAATTTCAAGTAGTCCGTTTGTTGCATCAAAAGTGAAATATGAATTAATGTTAAGCTGCAAGGAAGTGTTGAAACGGGAGTGTTTGAAGCCGTCATTAGTCTCATCTTCATGGGGCGGTCAGTCCAACAGGCCCTGTGCTTTATCAGCCATCAAAGAGAGTAGAGCCTGTGGACAGGTCTGATTGGATGACAGAGGGATTCACCCCATGGCATGAGTCATCAAACATAATTGGTCCTTAATCTTTCCTTGTGTTTGTTTTTCTCAAGTTTTTTAGTGGAAATTTGGAGGTCAGAACAACAAAAAAAAAGCTTTGTTTCAACAGCTAAGCTTTGTCTAGATATCTGCCTGAGAAACTTCGATTTGGTGACGAAATGCTCATAATCTTCTTGTCTCTAGAAAGGTGCTAGACTGAGAGTATTTAGGTTATAATTGAATTAAAAAGGTGTTCTAACATCATTATCATTGGTATGATGTTTCCCTGACTTACATAGAATGCGGTAATAAAGTTTCCTTTATTTTAGGTTCATGCCATTCTTTAATCAAAAGACTTTCTACTCTAAGGACACAATAATGACTCAGCTTTATTCTAGGAATACATGAAGTGCGATAGAAAGGAGGATTCAGATTTTTGAGCAGCATGTATTTTACCTTCAGCGTTCAGCAGTCAGTTTAGTTTGAGGAAGTGATGAATATTATTACTTAGTGGACATCAGTATAAAAGCTCACAGCACAGCAGCTTTCTACAATATTAAAAGTCCAGAAAAGTCTTAGTACTTTGTGTTCAAAGCCTTTCCATCGATGTCAACTTTCAGCCAGATGTTTACTGAGATAAGCAAGATCAGTTAAAACAAATACGATGTTGGTTTTTTTGTCTGTTCTATGATTTGTTCCATTCAAAGCATTGAATGCAATATTGAACATGCTATTTCAAATGTAACCCACTCCAAATCAACTTTAGTTATACTCTAACGATGGAGCAGAACCAGTACTGATTTAATTAAATTAAATTCAGTTTATTTATATAGTGCCAATTCACAACACATGTCATCTCAAGGCACTTTACAGTTCACCAGATCATACAGTAAAGTTGATTCAAAGTTTTCTATCTAAGGAAAACCAGTTGATTGCATTGACTCATTGACTGAAATACAATCCCTCACACTAAGTATGCTTGTAGCGACAGTGGAGAGGAAAAACTCCCTTTTAAAATCAGATGCTGTAGAATTGTTACTGTAAACATGAGCAGGGTGCCAAAAGCAGGACTATAAAGAATGGGTGGCAAATTGTCAAACCAATGCATTGGACATGTATACAGCCAAGTAAAGAGTTTATTAGCAAAATAAAAAATCAAACCCACACCCATTATCATCCTCACAATTAACCCTGCCCCCACAGAGTGTCTTGGCACTGAGAACTTTTTCGTTTTCAAAATTCTGCCAAGAAGCATGGTTATTTATTCACATTGGGTGTTACATTTAAAGACCTTCAATGTGTTTTTTGTGTACTCCAACTTGGCCTTACCAATGTCCAATGTTCATATTTAGAATATTTTCAGTTCCTAACATTTGAATCAAGAACATATAGTTTACTCAAGCATTTAGTAGTTTGCATCCTTGTAGTACCTGGGTGAGAAATGTTGGTAGCAGCTCTCTCCTCATGTTTCAACAAAACAACTTTGGTTTATCTTCTCCTGACAATTGTTTAATTCCTGTTCCCTTTTTCGGATGTACACCTACTAGTCTAATTATTGACACCTACTGTCAATGTGTGCAGTTTGCATGATAACAAAAAAGTAGACTGCAATGTTAAAAAGACAACAAATTCTGATCAATAAGTGATTTTCATTTTATTGTAAAATCTGCAACTTGAACATTTGAAAAACTTTTTCAAAGTTGTGTTTATCTTTGCCTTTTCTTGAGTAAAATCTAACCTTTCTGCATCTGTGGTGTAGTGGCTTATTTTGGCCAATATCCTCAGTGCCTTAAGGTGAGCTCTTGGCCACTTGCTTAGGCAGAAAGGATTGGGTGAAACAATCTCTTCTAAGTTTTACTCCTTAGCATACCAGCACTTTCTACCAGTATGTGGACTTCCTCACCACTTGACCGACCTCCACAGTTTACAGCTTCTGGCCTACTTGCAACGTGAAAAACTGGTAAAAAAAAAAATAAAAAATTCTCTGAGATTAAATATTTTCTGTACTGTAGAACTTGGGATGACTGAGCAAATGTGCAGGAGATAAAGGCTCACAGTTGTGATGTTTACATGACTTTAAAAAGGTACTCACACCAGCCGGAGGAGACTTCACTTCAATGCAGTCCATTTATATACCACCAATTCACAACACATGTCATCTCAAGGCACAATACAACCAAATCATAAAGTCAAATTGATTCAAAATTGATTCACTGCAAAAACACCTATGAGATATTTTCAGATTAAGATTTGGGATAGACATTTGCAGGCCTATGAGGATAAATGTTCTGTTGTTCCCCCACCTGGAAAACAACAATAATACATGATGGTCATTGTGCCTATACTACCACACAAGAAAACTGTACTTTACCTATCATGGAGGAATGGTAACCAAGACGTCAGATTTAAGGAAGGATTTAAATGAGAGAACAACTAAAGTATGATAAATACAATGCAACATGTGTAACACAGAACCAGGACTCTTCCTATAAGTGCTGTTAGAATAAAGCTGTTAGAACAAAACCAAAGCCTTTATTAACACATTTTCAATTGCTGTCTTTCAACATATCATCCCTCTTTTTGAATGATCAATGTCTGAAAAGAACCGCCCTCTCCAAATGCACATGCACAACCCTGTACCCGCTCCCGAGAGGGAACACCTATTAAACGCATGCGACAGTGTGCAAGAGCCCATTTCTCCTTGTTTTACTAGCAGAGATGTGAAATGGATTTCTCCAAATGGCATGCCCAACTTTACTTGTCGAGTACAAACTTCTCAAACGAGGAATCAATGGGAAGACCGACGTGTGCTTTCATTGTTCGCCATCACGTGAAATTATTTCCCTAAAACATCCTGGTCTTGTTTCGCTCTTCTGAGGCCTTTCTCTTCTTCTCATACACTTCATAGACACTTTTTCTCTTATGACCCGCGGCTATTTTCAAAGAACCGCGCTGAGAATGGTAAGCTTCAATGACCGTCTGAAACCGAAGCTCACCACACATATGCACCTGAAAGTGTGCATGCACTGAAACATATCACAAGAACGACTGACAATTAGGAGAACCACTTATTTTGACTATCCACATGGACAAAAAGCATCCTCCCCTACCTACCATACCTTGAACAATTTAACCAACATGTTCATTTCAGACCAAAATCAAAATGCTGTCATAATGAAAAAAGAACATTCAGAGATAAAACAAACTTGACAATTTCCAGTTTTCTAAAGTCAAGTTTTGTTTTTTCATTTAGTTTTTTTATATGTGTATATCACTGCTAAAGTCTGCTTTAATTTTGTCGGACATCTGACAGATGTTTGTGCAATGCGCAGATGTGACAATAATAATGTAATTAGTTGTTGTAAATTACCTTTGAATATGAAGCCTTAGCAGACAAGTTTTGCCTGTAGGGTATGCAAATGTATTTAAATCAACAGCTTTTGTACCACCCTGCTTGCTTCCAGGGTGATTCTAAAGACTCATCAAGGGCTGATTTCCCCTAAAGCATCATAGAGAGCCCCAACATTTAAATCCTCATATCTTATTCAGTTCTTATTTGATTTTCACTAGTTGGAGATTATTGGAAAGCTTAGACTCAATTATTTCGGGAGCTATGAATAAGTCAAGACAACATTGGGTAATTTGTAATTTGCCGTATAATCCTACTATAAAAAAATCATATGTGGACGCACTGTATATACTCTATATATTCCTTGCACCTTTTTCTTTCTTCTTCTTCTCCTTTGACCATTTGAGCTGATGTAATGAGTACATTTCTCCACTGTGAGATCAATAAAGTCAATTAATCAATCAATAGTTTGTTCCTGAATTGTGTTTGTTATACTGTATATCTTAAAGGGGAATTTCGTTTTATTTTACATTGGGCCCTTGATTTTACGTTATTACATCATGTTCTACTCACCCATATAAGTTTTGTGTCATTTGGAGCCGTTCTGAAGATATTCCATTGACGATGAAGTCATACATGCGCCGCTTTGTTTTTAAAACATATAAATATAAAAAAATATAAGCGCGGATGTATGTATGGGGGACAGTGATTCGCCTGCGTTAGGAATGCTGGCATACCATAAAGAATAAATTATGAACACTTTAGTTTGTGCCTTCAAGTATTTTACCCATACGAAGACGTAACTTGGATATAACCTAACAGAATATCTTCAGAACGGCTCCAAATAACACAAAACTTATATGGGTGAGTAGAACCTGATGTAATAACGTAAAGTCAAGGGCCCACTGTAAATTATTATAATACTTTGGTCAGGAGCTACTCTGTGTTGATTTAATTATCAAGCAGATATTCTTGGCAGTGTTTCGAGGTTAAAACAAAGGTGTTAACTTGGAGGGAGTCCTACCATATATTTTTCTCTATATATATTAAGAATAGCCTTTCAGTGGTCTGGCTGAAAAGTTTGACGCTGTTTTCCATGTTTTTTTTCTAATCTGCAGACTGAGCAAACATCTTGACTCCAGCAGAGCTACAGCTGTCCTCAGCCTGGTTGTGGTCTGAGGGGACTCACATCAAAGGTAAAGCCATTCTTCCTTCTTTACACCTCCTGCCTCCTTTAATCACATTGTTCACTTCATCACTGAGGTAATTACATTTCCTTTTTTTGCTTCCTTTTCCTCTTTTTTATTTCTTTTTTCGAAGACCTTTTTTTCTTTATCTCACTGTAGGAGAGCTTTTCCTTCTTGCTAAAGTACCTAGTAGGATTCTTTCTTTTTTCACTACATTAAGAGTTTTATTTCCTCAAGGGAATGTGCTCTAATTTGAATAATTCACCCTTCTGAATCAGGTGTGGGTAAAAGTGATTTTTAGTTCGCTGTGTGTTTCAGAGCAGAATGGCAGAGGGCATTTGTTCTGGTCCAAGATATATAACCACAGATCTGCCTGCATAATTGAATGTTTAAAGTTTTTCACCTGTAGTTACTTACAACTTGAGAAACTTAATTGCAATTCAGATCTATTCTGCGCTGTGGAGACAGTTGTTCTTTTGTGGACGACTCTGCTTTGAAGACTTTATTAAGAAGTTAGACAGATGGCACAAGCAGTAGTTCAAATACTGACTGATGTTTTTTTTCCGTGCATAGTATGATTTCCTTACGGCTTTATTTATGTGTGTCTCTTGAAATTCAGCAATAAATTTAATAATGCAGGATTAACATAGCGTTATTTTAAAAACGTCTAGCTCAGTATCCACCTGTCTGTTTTTAACTATTTTCTCATTTAGAAATAAAGAAACAATTTTGGATTTTACTAGTATTTTTCACTGCATTTTCATGTGTTTTTATGTATTTTCCTTCGTTTTATCCTGGACTCAGTAAGGCAGTTCAGACAAAAAGAATTGTATGAAATATGGGTGTTAAACAGCAGCTGCATTCCTTTACCTCCAGCTATGAAAAAGAAGCGCTATAAAAGCCATGCACCTCACTAAGCTGTGTTTATTCTGGCATCTCTCCACAATCACCCATTTGGGCATTGCTGCTTATTTTAAGAATTATTTCATACTACTCTTGTCCTAAAAAATATTTTTGATTCCAGAAAAAATGCATTTCTTCTTTCCAGTGTTGTGTTAATGATGGTATCCTACTAATAATACCAGATAATCATTATGCTAGATCCATCTTCACCACAGCAATCTGACGGAATCATTCAACAAAAAAAAAGCAGTTGTAAGATTCTTTAAACTATTTTACATCCCGGCGGTTCCATGATTTATTATTTGAATTAAACTAGTAGTGTTTTTTTAAGTGAAATGTTCATTTTCTACAAGATAATTGCTTCACATTTGAAATTCATTAAAGCAAAACAAAATTATGAGTATTTTATTGTGCATGAGAAGGAATAGCAACTGGCACATCTAATGACACTCAGCAAGAGTCGTCCAGATAGTCAGTGTAGCAGTTAATCTGTTACTAAAATGAACAGCAATGAAATAGAAGAACTCCTTCTTTAGGTTTAATGTTAATATCTGATATTTCCAAATATGAGCTCAGTTGCTGATAATGATCACATATATTAATTTAGCCTGTGTGAGCAAATGGATGATGATAAGGTGAAATTACCCCCATTGGCGTATGAGACTTCATCACTTAGTCTCTAAAAGTATTTCGTTTTTTTTACATCTAATGAATTCAAATTGCAAATAATTGTTTGTATTGTTAACACATTTCTGAAAAGTGAGCCATTTTGCCATATTTTGTTACATCACAGATTCAGACTTTGTATTTTAATAAGGTTTTATTTTCCTAAACCAACACAGGGTATAGTGTGTATTTATCAGGGGTCACCAACTGGGGGCACAAAGGGGCCCTCAAGGACCACATGGGGGCCCTCAACATCTTCTGAAAACAGAAAAACCCACCAGTGTTGAGTTTTACATATTATTTTTATGATTTATAGAGCATTTTATCATATCAATCATTAAAAACATTTAAGCATTTAGGAATTAATAAATGACAATATCTAAAAGCAAATTAGAAATGAAAAGAAACTATTGAAATATGTTTATTATTTATGAAGTTTAGGTGAATGCTGACTCCTCCAGTTCATAGGTCAGTATTGGTAGCCCTTCCTATGACTCTTAAAAAGGTTGGTGACCCCTGGGCTATGTAATAAAAATGTTTGAATACAAATGCGAGCAAAACTTCAGATTTAAATTAGCCAAAATAGTACACAGGAGGTTGGGGATATAATGTGACAAAAGCTTTAAAATATCAAGAGGTGTGAATACTTTTAGTTTGATAAAATCTCAGTCTCCTAAGGTCCTTTTTTCCACAGTCCAACGTTCAACTTGTTCCATCAGCCCGCTGTTGTCCACAATGTTCTCATGAACTTTTTGTCATATCATGAAACAAAAACACACTTTTCAGCCGAGTCGTGTGATTTTTGTGTACTTGGTTGTCAGCGTGTTTCATAAAACTGATGGATAGCGAGTTATTGCCCCCTTTTTTTCCCCAGTATCTGCTGCTCCACTTTACAATATGTGGTTGGTTTTTATTTTTACTGCTGGCCTAAATTTAGAGCCGTGCATTAATGCTGAGATGTGTTTACCGCTCAGGAAAAAAGTCTTGCAACAGAAATAAAGCAGCAACCGTACATGAATTAATGAGTTAACCTTTTTTAGTTTTTTATTTTAATTAGAGATGTTTTTGCCATAAGGTGCTGAAATCCAACCCATTAGTTTTTTTTGGTATTAATAAGTAATTTTTGCCTTTTTCTCTTTGCTTTTAATTATCCCTCCTCCTTACAAATGAACTTTGTGGTGTTTAAAGATGACAGAGTTGGTTTAAGAGTTCAGCTATGATTTGTTTCTGTCTCATAAAATTAGCAGTAACAGCAGGATATATAAAGGTGACCGGGGTTAAACGTGCTGACCTCTGTTTTGTTTTTATCCCCTTTGACTGAGGCTATTAGCAAACATCTGTTGAGCTGAGGGGAATTCTTCAGATACTCCTTCTCTTGCATTCTGGGCTATTTTAAGCAAGGCCAGAAGGAGGTGTTTAATGATAAGCTGTGGGGCGTAGCTGACATGCCTGCCATGTTATTCCCCCAATGACTCAGGAAGCAATGGCTCTGTTGCCCCTCCAACCCCCAAGGGGTGTGAATCATTAGAGCCTGTGTTCAAGTGTGTCCAATCAGCATTGCTTTTGGAAACTCTGCTGATGTCACTTATCTCAAGTGCTGGATAACTTTCAATAAAGACAAGAGTGTTATTTTCATACGCTCTCCCTTTTAAAGCAATGTTTCCATTTTGAAGCCGTGATGCCAGCTGCTTGCTGCCAATGCAGCGGACCAGGATGGTTTGGTCAGATGGATATGGAGTGAATTTGTTCCATTATTTTTGCAAGTAAATAACATGTTTTGTAAATAGAATTCTGAAAAAAAAGGAAATGCAATGAAATAAAACTTTGAGAAACATTTAAAGATTAAAAAAACTGAATAACTTTGCTTTTTTTCTCAGATGTTATTCTATTTTTTCTTGTTCTTCTTTATTTTTCATATTTTATTGTTTAATTTTTTTTTATTAATTTATAATCTTTTTTGCTTTTTTTCTGTTTGTCTTTTGTGAATAACAATCTTTTAAAGTTGCATTTTACAAATCAAGACTCTTCCCTTTAAGCCAATACAAACATTCACTCTTCAGGTGCAGATTGAAAATATAAAAATCAGATTTAAATAAAGAATACATCTGGAAAAAAAAAAAGGAAATATCAGAGGAAACAGCAACAGTACTGTTAAAACCTTATTTTTTTACTCAAAATGTTTTTTAAAGATTTTGAATTTTATATTTTGAATTTCAATGCTTAGAAAATTAGTTTTTGTTTTTGTGCAAACTTCTATTTCCAAAACAAGTCCTTTGCTTGCAAAAGGAATGGAACAAAATTCACTCCGTAGATGGACAGAAACTTTAAAGGTATAGAGCCTAAGAAGCAGCCTCCTCTATCATTCAAATGGATGTGGAATTTTTACGGAGCACAGTCTCCTTGGCACACACCACTCCGAATGGAAGAGGCAGATAAGATAAATAAATGATAAGCATGCAACAAACATCAAAGAGAGCTTGTGTGCTTCAAAGGGAATAAGGGCTTTGTGCTCAGCAGGTCCTATAGTAAAGAATGACTACTTGTCATGTGCGCACAGAATTAGACGGACATATTGTGGACTCTGTTTCCACAGTCTGACCTGTTTAAGATTCATATCGTTTCTTCTTCATTGATGCTCCCAGCTGAGCCAAGCTACCAGTCCGCTATCTTTCTCTTAGTGACACGGTCAGTTTGCCTGCTTTGATTCGATGTGCTGCGTCACAAAATGTCATCTTTGCTGCTAAATCTTTTTAATGCTGGATTCTTTGTAAAAGGATTCATTCATCAAAGAAAAGGACAAAAGGCTCTAGAGTTTTTGCTCTGTTTGATTCCTAAAATCCTAACTAGAAAACCATTTATGTGATAAGAAGGGAGGTAAAAGTGGAAGCTGGATTAGGTTTTTCTATTTTAAGTGAATTTAATTTAATTTAGGTAACTGCAATACAATAAGTTAAGGTTTTAGGTAAGGAAAGTATTTTGAACCCTTACTGTAGGTCAGTCATTGGCAACAGGGATATGATTCAAGGAATACAAAGATATTTATGAAACTTCGTATAATTTATAATATAAATCATATTTATAATATAAATCATGTATAATTTTGTACTAATGCTTTATAATCAAAACCCTTTTTAAATATTTTTTTATTGATATTTTCACATTATAAGAAATGGAGCCTAGGCGGAAGTTCAACTGAATAAACGATTATTTACCCATGCCCGCCTCCACCACAGCCAATCAGTTCTGAACCAGACCTCCATGAAAGCCAATCAGCATCCTGCGCTCATCTTAAAAGGTCACCAAATCCACATCTCAGTCTGCTACCCAAGCTTTAGCAGCGGTTGCACCATGTCGGACTTTGACTTAGATGACCCGATTCACAAACCTCCATCACCTTCTCCACCATCATAGCCAAGCTTCATCAGAGGGCCATTCTTCCC